TGGATCAGGGTGGGGGTCCCGCTTGGGTCCCTGGCCAGCCTGGATGACGGGCTGATGGCTGTTTGCAGCTGGTCACACCCCCTTCAGGGTGGGGGTCCCCACTGGGTTGCCTGGCCAGCCTGGGTGAGGGGCTGAGGGCCGTTTTCAGGCTGGCGGGCAACTGAAGCTCCAAGCCTCTTTTTTTTTTTTTTTTTTTTTTTGGGATTTTTTTACCTTCTATAGCTGTCACTAGAGCTGAGAGCCGGCTCCAGCTCTGAGGCCGTTGCCAGCTGAAAGCAGGTATCTGGGGTTTGTTTAGCTTCTATAATTGCAACATTGTTGCTTAGACTGGAGCTCAGAGCTGGGCCGCAGCAGGCAGGGAACCTTGGCTTCCTCCATCGCTGGAGCAAGCAAGCCTCATGTTCACTTCAGCTGCGTGGCTGCCGGCCGCCATCTTTGTTGGCAGTTAATTTGCATATCCTGCTGATTAGCCAATGGTAAGCGTAGCGGAGGTATGGTTAATTACCATGTTTGTCTATTATTAGATAGGATTACATATTAGCAATAACATATGCATTAAAAACTATGATTGAATCAACTAGGAAATAAGTAATAGAAATTCTACCTATATGTGTGAGGTATAAGAGAAACTTCGAAGAACTTCTATGACTGCATTGGTGATAAGATACATTTTTTACAACTTTGTCGATATATGTCACATATAATTCATTCATTCAAAGTTTTAGTACATCCATAGAATTGTGCAACCATCTCCACAATCAATTTTCGAACATTGGCATCATCCTCAGAAGATAACCCACACACATTTAGCAGTCCCTTCCCATTTTCTTCCAACCTCTTCCAGTCCTAGGAACTGTTTTCTGCCTCTATAGATTTGCCTGTTCTGGACATTTCATATCAATGGAATCATATGTGGTCTTTCATGACTGCTTCTTTTACTTGCATATTATCAGGGTTCATCCATGCTTAGCATTTATCAGTACTTTATTTTTTATTGCCAAATAACATTCTATTGTAGGTATATATCATTTTATCATTTTATCAGTTGATGGATATCTGGGTTGTTTTCATTTTGAATAATGCTCCTACAAACATTCATGTACAAGTTTTGGGTGGACATAGAATGTGGTAAACTGAGACAGGAGGAGAAATGAGGTAGAAAGTAATGAAAGTATCCTAGATTCCTCATCTTTCATTGGGAGTTATTGGTATTATCTAATGTTAAGAACTTAAGAAATTGTGGTATATAATAACAGTGGTAAACAATAAAAGCACTATAAATAGAAACTATTAAAAGCAGTTGTCTACTGACATTTTACTTTGCATTTTATGTACTTCTCTTCAGTTTGACTTTTCTTTTTTCTATTATGTTTTTAAAATGTGCATGTATTGCCTGGCTGCCCGGCTGGCATGGCTCAGTGGTTGACCATCGACCTATGAACCAGGAGGTCATGGTTCCATTCCTGATCAGGGCACATGCCTGGGTTGCGGGCTCGATCCCCAGTGTAGGGCGTGCAGCAGGCAGCCGATCAATGATTCTCTCTCATCACTAATGTTTCTCTCTCTCTCTCTCTCTCTCTCTCTCTCTGAAATCAGTAAAATACACACACACACACACACACACACACACACACACACACATGCCTAAGCAACTGTTCAATTGGTAGCTATGATGCGCACTGACCACCAGGGGGCCGATGCTCAATGCATAGGCATGGAAACATGGAACAGACTGATGAATCTCAGAGGGAAGTGGGGAGGAGGGAGGGCAGGAAGAGATTAACCAAAGATCTTATATGCATACTAGAGGCCAGGGTCCCTCGGCCTGGCCGGCAGAGACCGGGCAGAAACCAGCAGTCCCACATCCTCCGAGGGGTCCTGGATTACAAGAGGGTGCAGGCCAGGCCAAGGGACCCCACCGGTGCACGAATCCGTGCACTGGGCCTCTAGTGTTTAAAATAAAATAAAATGTGCATGCATTACTTTAGTTTTCATGTCTGGATTTCAGAAAAAAAAACTTTTAGATCTAGGGTTAGCATTAGATATTTATAAAATTTCTTTATCCCTTGGTGTCCAGATATTAGGATAAATCTAGTATCTTGAGCCAGCATGTTCTTGATGCTGACATTACAAACAAACATGACAGTAAAACCAAGTCCCTTTGATGGAGAGTAGAAAAAGAGCTTCTCTACCAGTTGATCTAAAAACTAGTGATTTTTCAAATGGCAGAGAACAAAAAGGCCAATGAATGAGGCCCAAAATTATGCTTGCCAAGATGGTTAATACAGAAACAAAGTCATTCCAGTCTAAGGGCCTCTTCCAAAGCCAAGTGGCTTAGTTTAAGTGATAATCTAAGCATTAAGCTATGTACCTGAGAAATTGTGTAACTTGAAATAAAACCACCTAGGGCAGTGGTCAGCAAACTGCGGCTCGTGAGCCACATGCGGCTCTTTGGCCCCTTGAGTGTGGCTCTTCCACAAAATACCGACTTCTGCGCATGGGCCACAAAGTTTCAATCACACTGTACGTGCGCACCCGCACGTGGTATTTTGTGGAAGAGCCATACTCAAGGGGCCAAAGAGCCGCATGTGGCTCGAGAGCCGCAGTTTGCCGACCACTCACCTAGGGAATGTCCACTGTAACATGGCTAACTGACAAGGTAGCAGTTAACTCTACTTTCATAGTGTCCCCATCATAAATTCTGTTTAACTAAGGCTGCTTCCAGAATCAGAATTAAGCACACATTCATGCAAATAGAGAGCACAGAACAGAAATGTAAGTTGCCCAAATTGCATAGCTTAAATAAGATGGTGACAAAACCCTCCAAGAAGGCTGAGATGGACCTACACCCTCATACAAAATGCCCCAGGCCAGAAGGGAGAGTGTGGAGTCAAACGGGGCCTTCCTCAGAGGACTGTCTCCACTGAAGAGGAAAATCTTCCCCAGAAAACCCTAGCCAACTTCCCCCTACATCTCATTTGGCCAGAACTGGGTCAGATGCCCACTAGAATGAAAACTGGGGAAGCTATAGATTTGTCATAGTGTACATCCTGGGGCCTGCACACTGCCATTAAAAAAATGAGGACATCTGGGGCAGCATAGAAGATGGAATACTATTAAATTAGAAACCAACTGTGTTTACTATTTACTTAAATTAAATAACTATTAATTTAACCAAAATGGGTTAAAATTTAAATTAGGAGGTTGGGTGGTAGAAGTGTATATATATATATATATTGGGAGAAGGGTGTATCCTCCTCTTCCAAAGTAGAAAACTAACTGTTAATAAAAAAACAAACAAACAAACAAAAAAACACAATTGGAGAAATAGCATTAAATCCTTTATTCAGAAATCCAGAGTAAACACCAGAAGAAACAGCTAACAGTTTAAAATGGTTTCTCTGGGGAGTGGAAATGGACATTAGAGGGGATGGGGCATGATGCTGCTCTATGTTATTAGCCTAATAATACAAACCTTACTTTCATAGGTATAAAAAATAAATGTAAAAGAAAAATAAAAGGGTGAAAGCATGAATTTTGAAGACATTATGCTAACTCAAACAAGTCAGTCACAAAAGGACAATTATTAAATGACTATTTATATAAATTACAAAGAGTAGTCAAATTCATAGAAACAGGTAACAGAATCGTGGTTGCCAGGGGCTGAGAGTGGGTGGACAATGGGAAGTTATTATTTAATGGGTATGAAGTTTCTGTTTGGGAAGCTGAAAAAGTCCTGGAGATGTATGGTGGAGATTATTGCAAAACAATGTGAATATACTCAATGCCATGGAATTGTACACTTAAAAATGGTTAAAATGGTAAATTTTATGTTATGTATATTCCAACACTATAAAAAATAAACTTGATTTCAGACTTCTAGCTTCCAAATATGTGAGAATAAATTTCCACTGTTTAAAGCCTACCCCTCTGCCCCACAAAAAATTTTAAGATCAAGAGACAGCGTAAAAAAACAGCAACAACAAAAACCCCACAAGGAAATGAAAAACAAACAAACAAACCAAGGTGACTCCAAAGTACTTGTAAATATAAACATACACACAACAGACTGGCACTGCTAAGGCGGCCAAGGCCATGAGGAAGGACGGTATCCTTCAAAACTAGAAACTGAATTAAAAAGAAACAAAGCACTTGTCAAGTAACCCTAGTATTCCATTAGGAATTCTCAACAATTCTCCATCTGTGCCTCATGTAAGGGCCCACCAAGAGATCAGAAATAAAGATGAACAGGCAGCAAAGTGCTTCTAATGAAAGGAATTCGGCCTCCCCTAACCCCCAATAAGGGAAAATCAGAAGTGAAAATACAGAAAGGACTTATAAAGAAAGTTGTTTTCTCTGCTTTTCATTCCTTCAACTTGGGAGGGTGATAAAAGCCTGTGTTTGACTGACTAAAGCACATTTCTGAACAAACTTCAGTTTTAAACATCTGTTCTTCATGGAGGCTCTGGAGGAAAAAGACTCTTAAAAGCTCTATGCCAGATAACGCAGAGGAAACTAAAAGCTGCCTAATTCAGTATCCTCCAGGGAGGCTGATGGTGGCCAGCCCACTTCAGTGTGTGCAACCATGAAATTCCTAACGTGCTAATAAAACCAAGAAAGGGACAATTTTTACATCAACAAAAGAACAACGGGAGACTCAGGATCTCTTCAGTGTGTGCAATGAAATTATTCCCAACGTGCTAAAACCAAGAAAGGGACAATTTTTACATCAACAAAAGAACAACGGGAGACTCAGGATCTACTAACTTAGTGTACAACCAAAATTATTGTGGCAAATGGAAAACATCCACGGTTTCTGTAAAGCCAATCCTACTGTCTTTTGATTAACTCCAAGTCTCAATAACTTCCCGGAGCAAAGATTTCGAAGATATTAAGGTTGAAGGATGGCTCCCTGCCCAATCACTTAGGACACTGCCATAACAGAACACAGCACCTCGGCCGAAAGGGAAGTTGACAATGACTATGCTCCTATTCAGAAGGTCCAGTGTTAAAAGAGGCCTTAGAGAGCATCTGCATGCAGGAAGCCTATTATTTTACAGGTGAAGAAACTAATATCCAGAGAAGTTAAAAGTACTTGTGGAGATCACAGTGACAGAGGAGTTTGGAAATCAATATAAATAAGTGAGGTCCTCTAAGCAAGTATGGCTTGGTTCTCTTGAGTCTTGGCTGCAAAAAATGAATAGAAACAAATAATCTTTTCAGCTAGAACCAGGTCCAAAATGGTGTATGAACCACAAATTAATCTTAAATGTCATCTGATTTTAAGTCTATCTAGCCCTGACCATCAGAAAATCTGGGTCAAAATAAAGTATATCAAAGTGTGTCCACTTCTGTTTAGGCTTGAACGTTCATCTTGAAATAAATTTTCTCTACAAAAAATGCCAGGCCCTAACTGCAGGAAATGCTGGTTGGGATCCAACTGAAATCTGGATCCATTCTAGATTTCACAGATGTTGTGGCTCAGCCTGTCTGTAATGCTAATAACTAATGAAGGATCACTGCTATTGGTATGGGGAGAGTACTCAGATTCAAGTCTGGCTTTCACTCCAACAATGTGCTTTCCTCCCAAGTTCACTCCTCTTAGGCACATCTTATTAAAAATAAAAAAAAAACCAGCCCGGCCAGTGTGGCTCAGTGGTTGAACATCAACCTATGAACCAGGAAGTCACGGGTTCGATTCCTGTCAGGGCACATGCCTGGGTTGCAAGCTCAATCCCCAGTAGGGGGCATGCTGGAGGCAGCCAAACGATTCTCTCTCTACCTCTCCCTTTCTCTCTGTGAAATCAACAAAACCATATTTTTAAAAAAATTGAAAATGATAACCTAGGCTTCATCTATTCAGTAAGTTGAATGACTGAAAGTCTCAACGGACTTTTGTCCTAGTATAAATGGAGCAACAAAAATCTTTTAAATATTAATTTGTTCTTCTGAAGTCCTGAAAAAGTTCTGCCATTTTTACCAAGCAACTATTCTCCTGCTCGGGCTCCCTTCTTCTCCAACCAGCTGAACTAGCTTGTGTCTGTAAGCCATGCAATACCCCCTACTACAAAATTGTCCCTAAGACTCCAGTCCTCAAAGTCTTTGCTAAATAACCCCTGGGAGAGCTAGTTTTCAGATTTGTCCCTTTTCATCCTTCCTATTAGACACTCCACGTTGCACAGGTCTGTCCTGCACGCTGCAACCCCAACTTGTAAGAGCCCTGTCTTCTCTTGCCAGAATGCACCTGGCTTAAAGCACTGCTGAGTACCTTCAGGATGAGGACTTGCTTACTCCTTTCTCCAGGCTCAGAATTCAGTTTCTCATCAGCAAAAATGCACCCAACATAAAAAAATAAAGTACATCTTTAATATATCCTTTGGCTACTGATGAATATGAGACTAAAGCTGACTTTCCTATGGAGTGGCAACACATGTTAAATTGTGTTACTCTGAGATAAGTAAATGCCATCTTCCTTGAATACAAGGCAAAATGATTGACACCTTTCATTGTATTTTTCATGCACTTCTCACGTGTAATAATGAAAGCCCTTTCGTAAATTAACAAAAGCTAGAGAACCAGAGCTCATTTGTTTGTTCAGAAGTTTTTGGCCTAGAATAAACTCAGCCCAAGGTCACTGAATTAGAAATTTTACAACAGTCATAAACTGCCCTTCCTTCCCCATATCTACACACACAGCTCTATTCCTCGCTCCTAAGAAACCAGATTAAAACTCAGGACTCCCCCAAAGTTCTCTTATTTTATTAACAATCTGAACAGATTCTTTCCCCTTCTTTCCGCCTTCTCCTTGGTTTACTGACCCTTCCAATGGCCTTCAGGTAATTCTGGCCCAGTGAACCAATAACAACTCTGGCAGAGAGAAAGAGTAAAGGCATGAACAAGATTTCAGGCCATCATAGTTAGTTCCTCTCTGGTGCTCTTGTTATGGCAACAGCATATTTTTCCACAGCTGATGAGGCTGTTATGCAGGGAAAAAAGGCAGAAAGAAAGGCTAAAAGAAGTGTCTATATTTCTGCTCATTTCCCAGAGCACAAGCCTCCCTGAAGGAGACAGTTCAGAATTTATAAAAGGAATAAGGTAGCAGAAAAAAATCGCATTAGCTAGCATTCCAGAGGTAGAAAAGTTTCTTTAAATGCCTGAAAACTTCCTTTTTCAGCAAAATAAGCATCTTATGATAGGAGAAAACTGGGATAGGGATAGGACACTAAATTTGAGGCTACTCACTGCCATTAATTAGCAGTATGGCACTCACTAACAAGTTACTTAAATTTCTCAGGGCCTCAGTTTCTCTCAGCTAACCAGTGTTGTGAGAGTGAAGCTAAATAATAACTTTACCTTCCATTGAGGATAGAAGTAGCTTCTCAAAGAACCAAAATAAAATAAAATCCAAGGGCATTTTTTCTTTTAATTTATTCAACAAAAATTGTTCTCTTCCCTAATAATGAAAAAGCAACATGAGAAATCTAAGAGATTACAGCAAGTGTGTTTTCACCCACCTCTCATTTCTCAACTGCAGGAAGGCAATTTTGAGAAACCAATGAGTAAAGAACTCAAGAGGGGAGAGATGGAGATAGTTAAGGTCACTATGTTGTGAAAGTCCCTGCCCAGTCTGATCATTAGGGCATCCAACACCGTTATCCTGGAATGCTCTGATATGTATATGTCTCCAAGTCTGAGACAGGAAATGCTAATCCCCTTCCTTCCCAGTAAATAGACTTCCAGGACAAGCCTACTGACGCTAATTTTTCTACATGTTTTCAAGTCTGAAATATATGTTAGCACTTAACTCTGTACAAGTATTTAGTTCTAGAACTAAAAACCATTTCCATCCTCAATACCCACCAAGATTTTAAGACCATTCAGCCTGGCCAGTGTGGCTCAGTTGGTGGGAGCTGTGTCTTGTGCACTGAAAGGTCACGGGTTCCATTCAGGTCAGGGCACATACCCAGGATGGCATAAGGGAGGCAGCTGATCGATGTAAAACATTGATGTGTCTGTCTCTCTCTCTCACTCTTTCCCTTCCTCTCTATAAAATCAACAAAAACATATCCTTGGATGAGGATTAAAAAAAATATTTTAACACTATGCAGAGCAAGAATTGCCTTTCCTACGTTTGTCTGTAGTCCTCCTTTGTGCAAAGCACTGCACTGGGCCCACAAAACTCACCTCCAAGATACCTAACCACATTAATTCAGGTGTCTGGAGGAGACCAAAAAACAACAGTCTTACCCTGGTTCTGGGAAATAAAATTACATGGGGGGGGGGGGGGGGGGAAAGGAGGAATGAAAGGTATGGGGAGAGTACTCAGATTCAAGTCTGGCTTTCACTCCAACAATGTGCTTTCCTCCCAAGTTCACTCCTCTTAGGCACATCTTATTAAAAATAAAAAAAAAACCAGCCCGGCCAGTGTGGCTCAGTGGTTGAACATCAACCTATGAACCAGGAAGTCACGGGTTCGATTCCTGTCAGGGCACATGCCTGGGTTGCAAGCTCAATCCCCAGTAGGGGGCATGCTGGAGGCAGCCAAACGATTCTCTCTCTACCTCTCCCTTTCTCTCTGTGAAATCAACAAAACCATATTTTTAAAAAAATTGAAAATGATAACCTAGGCTTCATCTATTCAGTAAGTTGAATGACTGAAAGTCTCAACGGACTTTTGTCCTAGTATAAATGGAGCAACAAAAATCTTTTAAATATTAATTTGTTCTTCTGAAGTCCTGAAAAAGTTCTGCCATTTTTACCAAGCAACTATTCTCCTGCTCGGGCTCCCTTCTTCTCCAACCAGCTGAACTAGCTTGTGTCTGTAAGCCATGCAATACCCCCTACTACAAAATTGTCCCTAAGACTCCAGTCCTCAAAGTCTTTGCTAAATAACCCCTGGGAGAGCTAGTTTTCAGATTTGTCCCTTTTCATCCTTCCTATTAGACACTCCACGTTGCACAGGTCTGTCCTGCACGCTGCAACCCCAACTTGTAAGAGCCCTGTCTTCTCTTGCCAGAATGCACCTGGCTTAAAGCACTGCTGAGTACCTTCAGGATGAGGACTTGCTTACTCCTTTCTCCAGGCTCAGAATTCAGTTTCTCATCAGCAAAAATGCACCCAACATAAAAAAATAAAGTACATCTTTAATATATCCTTTGGCTACTGATGAATATGAGACTAAAGCTGACTTTCCTATGGAGTGGCAACACATGTTAAATTGTGTTACTCTGAGATAAGTAAATGCCATCTTCCTTGAATACAAGGCAAAATGATTGACACCTTTCATTGTATTTTTCATGCACTTCTCACGTGTAATAATGAAAGCCCTTTCGTAAATTAACAAAAGCTAGAGAACCAGAGCTCATTTGTTTGTTCAGAAGTTTTTGGCCTAGAATAAACTCAGCCCAAGGTCACTGAATTAGAAATTTTACAACAGTCATAAACTGCCCTTCCTTCCCCATATCTACACACACAGCTCTATTCCTCGCTCCTAAGAAACCAGATTAAAACTCAGGACTCCCCCAAAGTTCTCTTATTTTATTAACAATCTGAACAGATTCTTTCCCCTTCTTTCCGCCTTCTCCTTGGTTTACTGACCCTTCCAATGGCCTTCAGGTAATTCTGGCCCAGTGAACCAATAACAACTCTGGCAGAGAGAAAGAGTAAAGGCATGAACAAGATTTCAGGCCATCATAGTTAGTTCCTCTCTGGTGCTCTTGTTATGGCAACAGCATATTTTTCCACAGCTGATGAGGCTGTTATGCAGGGAAAAAAGGCAGAAAGAAAGGCTAAAAGAAGTGTCTATATTTCTGCTCATTTCCCAGAGCACAAGCCTCCCTGAAGGAGACAGTTCAGAATTTATAAAAGGAATAAGGTAGCAGAAAAAAATCGCATTAGCTAGCATTCCAGAGGTAGAAAAGTTTCTTTAAATGCCTGAAAACTTCCTTTTTCAGCAAAATAAGCATCTTATGATAGGAGAAAACTGGGATAGGGATAGGACACTAAATTTGAGGCTACTCACTGCCATTAATTAGCAGTATGGCACTCACTAACAAGTTACTTAAATTTCTCAGGGCCTCAGTTTCTCTCAGCTAACCAGTGTTGTGAGAGTGAAGCTAAATAATAACTTTACCTTCCATTGAGGATAGAAGTAGCTTCTCAAAGAACCAAAATAAAATAAAATCCAAGGGCATTTTTTCTTTTAATTTATTCAACAAAAATTGTTCTCTTCCCTAATAATGAAAAAGCAACATGAGAAATCTAAGAGATTACAGCAAGTGTGTTTTCACCCACCTCTCATTTCTCAACTGCAGGAAGGCAATTTTGAGAAACCAATGAGTAAAGAACTCAAGAGGGGAGAGATGGAGATAGTTAAGGTCACTATGTTGTGAAAGTCCCTGCCCAGTCTGATCATTAGGGCATCCAACACCGTTATCCTGGAATGCTCTGATATGTATATGTCTCCAAGTCTGAGACAGGAAATGCTAATCCCCTTCCTTCCCAGTAAATAGACTTCCAGGACAAGCCTACTGACGCTAATTTTTCTACATGTTTTCAAGTCTGAAATATATGTTAGCACTTAACTCTGTACAAGTATTTAGTTCTAGAACTAAAAACCATTTCCATCCTCAATACCCACCAAGATTTTAAGACCATTCAGCCTGGCCAGTGTGGCTCAGTTGGTGGGAGCTGTGTCTTGTGCACTGAAAGGTCACGGGTTCCATTCAGGTCAGGGCACATACCCAGGATGGCATAAGGGAGGCAGCTGATCGATGTAAAACATTGATGTGTCTGTCTCTCTCTCTCACTCTTTCCCTTCCTCTCTATAAAATCAACAAAAACATATCCTTGGATGAGGATTAAAAAAAATATTTTAACACTATGCAGAGCAAGAATTGCCTTTCCTACGTTTGTCTGTAGTCCTCCTTTGTGCAAAGCACTGCACTGGGCCCACAAAACTCACCTCCAAGATACCTAACCACATTAATTCAGGTGTCTGGAGGAGACCAAAAAACAACAGTCTTACCCTGGTTCTGGGAAATAAAATTACATGGGGGGGGGGGGGGGGGGGGAATAGAGGAATGTAATGAAATGAACGAACCATGAGGGCAGAAAATTTCCAAAGGGGAAATTAAATCAATAAGTATTAAACATCTCAACTGCACTGCATTAACTGCTATAAGATAGTGACTAAATCCAATCACAACAGTGCTATATCCTCTAAACACATTATGTAAATCTTCGTGTTAAAAATCCAAAGATCGCGATGTGTTCTACCAATGAATACAGGCTTAATATAATAGATGAGCTAACATGACAAGTATTTAAATCTGGAAAACAAACAACAACAACTGTGTGTGTAGAGACTATCTGGAGACAGGTTCAATGATATTTGAGAAAGTGTGTTGGGTAAATGAATCAGTATTCTTGGCAGAATCTTCCCAAGCATTTTAGGAACTAATCCAAACTACTAGACTGGATTCTATCTTTAAAGCAAAGCCTAAAGACCATGCCCTTATTTTAAAAGCATGGTAGCTTGGCTCTTTGAAATATGCCAAAAGGGCGACCCTCTGTGCCTTTCCCTCAGGGGAATAATGATTACTACATCAGTGATTTTTCAACGGGTGTGCCACAAGAATTTTAAAAACATGCAATACCTGACTAGTCAGGGGCGCTGACCTCTTTTCCCTTAGATTGTCAAATAAAAATGACGACAGCCATCCGGTGTGCATGAATCAAAATTACATCTATTTTTGTCAGATCCGAAAAAAATATTTTTTGGTATACTGCAGATTTTAGTAATTAGGTTATGTGTGCCATGAGCTGAAGCAGAGGCATTTACTGACCCCACAGAATTCTCTACGTTATCAATTCCTTTCCATCACCTCAGAAAACAATATCCCATTCCTTAAAAGCTGTCAGTTCAAGTTTCAGACGACACTGTTTGGAGCAGATTCTGCTCCACCAAAATCTTTCACAATTAAAAAGTGAGGTCTCAACATGTTCAGGGGCTGGCCTTAAACTGATCAGGTCAGGAAGGAGGTTTCTCCAATGAGCTAAGGCCACCTCGCTAAGAAACTCCACTGCTCTGCAGTTAAAACTTCCTTAAACTCAGCTCTCCACGCATGAACTTCTCTGGCCCAGGTCATTTTAAAGTCTTCCGAGC